TTTTTTTTTTTTTTTTTTTTTTTTTTTTTTTTTTTTTTTTTTTTTTTTTTAATTAATTGTCTCCTTTTCTTTGTGTCTCCTTTTTGTCTCTTTTTTTTTTATTTATTTATTTATATATAAATAGGTAACAGTAATGCCTAAGGAGACAGGTCGTCTCTTTTTTGTTGGTCTTTCTTATACCCTTAATAGGGTGTCTTGCTGCCAGCTGCTGCTGCGCAGCAGCAGCAAACTAGATTGTCTCCTTGCTGCTAATGGGTATAAGGAGGGGCCCCTACAGTTAACAGATATGCGTATTAAGCCTCCTGCTGCTGCTGCAGCAAGCTCGGCTGCAGCAGGAGGAGGAGGGGGAGGTGCAGCAGGAGGTGCAGCAGCAGGAGATGCAATAGCAGCAGCAGCAGCAGCTGCTGCTGCTGCTGCTGCTGCTGCTGCTAATGGGGATAGGGAGAGGATGCTGCAGCCTACCCCTGAGTTTATTGAAGTCGCAACTGATCTCCTAGAGTAAGGAGACACCTAGCAGCAGCAGCAGCAGTAGCAGCAGCAGCAGTAGTAGCAGTAGCAGCAGCAGCAGTAGCAGCAGCAGCAGTTGCAGCAGCAGCAGTAGCAGCAGCAGCAGTAGCAGCAGCAGCAGCAGTTACAGGAGCCAGGTAGTATATAAAAGGAGACACTTAAAGGAGACAGATAGAACAGACACACGGTACCGCAGCAGCAGCAACAACAACAGCAGCAGCAGCAGCAGCAGCAGGAGATTATATTTGTGTGCATGCATGCATTGTTGTTTGTGTCTCCTTGTGCTGCAGGTACAGCGCAGCTGCATGCGTAGATGTTATTCCTCCTCTGCCTCTGCTGCGGGTGTCTCTTGAGTCTGCTGCTGCTGCTGCTGCTGCTGCTTATTCGTCTGCTGATTGGCTGCAGCAGCCTGCTAGGTCTACAGCAGCAAATACAGCAGCAGCAACAGCAGCAGCAGCTGCTGCTGCTGCAGCAGCAGCTGCAGCAGACCAGGAGCTTATGCTCCCTCTTCCTTTGCGGCTGGAGCATCAGCGACGGCAGCAGCGGCTGCAGCAACGGCGACGGCAGCAGCAGCAGCAGCAGCAGCAGCAGCAAGAGGAGACAATCAAGAAGAGACGGGATACAGTATCTGAGGTCACCGCAGCCGCAGCAGCAGCAGCAACAGCAGCAGCAGCAGCAGGAGCACCAGTCTGCAGCAGCAAGAAGGAGACACAAGAAGAAGAAGAAGAGGAGACACAAGAAGAAGAAGAAGAGACAGATGATGACGAAGAGGAGACACAATACTCAGAAATTACTCATACCTTTGATGCGGTTAGCTGCTGCTGCTGCTGCTGCTGCTGCTGCTGCTCCTGCTGCTGCTGCTGCTGTTGGTGCTGCTGCTGCGTGTGCGTTCTGCCTAGGGTGTGTTTATATATTGTTAAGGGTTTTGCATGCATCTCCTTGCTGCTGCTGCTGCTGCTGCTGTTGTCGTTGCTGCAGCATCTGCCTGCTGCTGCTGCTGCAGTAGCAGCAGCAGACCCTCGCTCCTCTCCTGTATGGGAGGGGCAGCACAGGCAGCTGTCTATACACCTGGAGAATATAAGCAAGCTGCATGCAACAGATATACAATTTAGGGTACTTCCTCCTAATAATAATGCAGCAGCAGCAGCAGCAGCAGGAGGAGGTGCAGCAGCAGCAGCAGCAGCAGAAATACACAATAAACAACAACATGAAGAAATACAACGAGTCTTCCAAGTACATAAACCCTAAACCCTAAACCCTAAACCCTAATTATATTCTTGTTTGTTTGTCTCTCTTTTTTTTTCTTTCTTTTGTCTCTTTTTCTTCCTGCTGCTGTTTGCTGCTGCTGTTTGCTGCTGCTGTCTCCAACAGCAGCAAGAAGTGTCTCCTTTTCTTGCTGTTGTCTATAACAAGAAGTGTCTCCTTTTCTTGCTGCATGCAGGTTGTGTGGGGAGATAAGGGAGCAGCAGCAGCGAGTACTGAGGGGGCAGCAACAACAGCAGCAACAGCAGCAACAGGAGCAGCAACAGGAGCAGCAGCAGCAGCAGCAGGAGAGGGGGCCCTCTTGGGTTCACAAGGAGACACCTCGCATACCCCAGGTGTCTCCTCCTCTCCCCCTCTTACAAATGGAGACACCAACAGCAGCAGCAGCAGCAGCAACAGCAGCAGCAGCAGCAACAGCAGCAGCAGCAGCAGCAGCAAGGATATAGTTATATTACCTGGGGAGAAGATAGAGGTCCCTTTGCGGTGTATAGCCACCTCTAAATATCCTTCTTGTATTATTGAGTAAGATATACATTTATTTATTTATTTATTTATATTATTTATTTATTTATTTATTTATTTATTTTATTGTCTCCTTTTTTATCCCTTTAGTGTCTCCTTTTTTGTCTCTTTTGTCCCTCATCAATGCATCCATACAACCAGCTGAATGCACGCATGCATGCATGCATGCACGCATGCATGCATTAAATAAATAATATATATATATATAATATATATATAT